TTTAATTAAATCTGAATTATGACGTGATTTTTGATATTTCCCAGATAAACAATGCAAAGTAACGTCAATTGGCAACATTGAGTCTTTATTAATTTCACGTTGAGTAGTTGTCACCAATGACGTAGATATCAAAACGCTTAGAAGATTTATTTATTAACAGAAAATACTTCATTGTGTTCTCATTGACGGACGTTATTTTCGATTCGAACGTACAAGTTTTATTTGTTGTTCAAACTTATAAGTTTAATCTTTAAAGATAGACTGGTTTTATATTTAAATGCTTTTTAATTATAATAATCTACAGTTATAAAATAAACATTTCTTATCTTAGTTCCTCTAATTATTCATTGATTCATCAATTCTTTTACAGAATAAGTTACATGTTTATAATGTTCCCATTAGAATTTTTTTGCTTCTTATCTTAATTCCTCTAGTTAATCATTGATTCATTTTATTCTATATAAGATTAGTAATAATATTATTAGAACTGTTTTCGCAATCCGTTGATTAGATGTCATTTTAGTGAGCTCAAATCTGGCACTGCGGTATTGGATGCTATCCATATATGTTAGTGTATAAAATTTATTAATTTTAACATTTGTCTTCTTTGTGCAGATACAATTTAATTCTTTGAAGTATTATAAATTTACAGATTTTGATTTGAGATACCAATCAAACAATGATAGGTAAACTTTAAATAATTAAAGTTTTTGATTTTTAATCAAATTGTATATGTCATGGCGTAAAAACTATTTCTCGCTTCAATAGTAATTAATTAAATGTTTGTAAACTTAGTCAACTTTACTTTTATCGCCAAAATTAATTTTACCGAAATTACACTTGAAAAAAAGTTTGTTTATTAAAAGCTCAAGTGCAACAACAGTAACTACAAACTATGAATAAATTAAAGTTACGCCGTAGCGAGGATTGAATTACTTTTTACTATTTAACTTGGGAAGTGTCGCATCTCAATACAACTGCAACTCAATACAAATTTGAGCGAATTTCTGAAAAATTCATCAAAATTTTCCACCAACTTTTTGCAGTATTTTTCTGCTTTTGAAGTTTAATTCTTAAATTAAAAAAGTTTACTTCACTGCAATTTCAGTAACAGCAGCACAAAGGAGCAAAGAAGCGCACTGAAGACGAGAGTTTTAAGACCTCTTTACGAATTGACATACTACACATGCGAGGTATGACAGTTTTCATCAGCACTCGGAACTTTTCTTATCAGCTTAGCTACTCCAACGCAGGTTAGTTGCGACTCAAGTAACAGTGAAACTATTTTTTTATTTTTAAAACGGATTAAAATACAACGTTAAAAAAATAAGACATGTTTAAGGAAATAAAATATTTCGTTCAACATTTCAAAAAGGATTTAACACAACAAAAAAATTTTTTTCAATCTCTTTGAAAGTTACAATGAAAAGTTTTTAAGTGTATTTTTCTTCAATTTTATGCGGAATACTTCAAACATTAAAATTATATTCGTTATTATTTTATAATGAATTCCTAAACAATTAATTATAAGGGTGTTTTTAATTTAAAACAAAACAAAGTAACTATTATTTCTTATTATATGTGACTGTATTTGAGAAAGTATGGATTGGTGTCACAGAAAAGAAAAGCTAAAAGGCTAACTCACAAGTTTTTTATTACTATTTGTCTTGCAATATTATAATTTGTTAAGTATTGTATAATTAAGAGTAAATAGGCAACACTAAATCAGCTAAAGGTTAGGTTAGATTAAGTTAGGTTATACCGGCGATCCCTACTGTTACCTATCCCTAGTGATCCATTGTGTTACCGTATATATAGGAGAAAAACTCAAGATTAAAATCACCTAGAACCTTTGGCGAAGCATAAAATGCTATTTAGTGTCAGTTCCTGTAACTGGTCCAGGTCCTCAAGAAAGGGGATTAGCCAAATGCTAAGTTGCCGCCGTGCATGAGCTGGGCAAAAACACAGTAGATGAGAGACATTCTCATCGTCTTCGCCACAGCTACAACAGATTTGATTGAAGGGAAGACCCAATCTTCCAGCATGGTTCCCTAGTTTACAGTGGTCTGTAAGTAAACCTACCAAAAGACCGACATCTCTACAGGGCATCTCAACGAGAATTTTAGATTTTCTTTTATCGGAAAGTAGTCAGATTGCACACAGATGTCTGCATATCGCTGAGTCTTCCCATTTTTTGTTAGAAGTTTTTGTACAGAAAGAGCTCAGTAATATTTTACAAGATATTAGCGATATGTCCAAATTGTCTAGGGGTTCCGAGTAAGGTCCTGAAACACCGGAAACCCTAAAGGTTATCTCAGATTCAACAACCGTTAAAAGATATGCAGAACTACGCACATTAAAAAACATCTGCTTCGTTTGGCCCATTAAAATTCTCTTATTTTCTATTGAGTTATTAATAGGTTCACCCAAAATAAATAATATAAAATACAGAAAAAAATCTAGTTATTGGCTTATCTACTTTTATCTCGTTCACACAAAATACTATCTAATATGGTGTTTGCAGACATCTTTTCACAGTAATAATATAGAATTGTGTAGGAACAATTGTGCTAATTTTGTAGACAGAAGAGAAAAGGGATATCCATCCTATAAACCGGCCCTCTCAAGAGAAACTTAACCGATGTTCGTTCTCAAGAGTCATCAGTTTAATGTTGAGAGACTGATCATATCAATTATGGACATGAGACTATCACGTCACACACTTTCTAATACACCGAATGTGACTTGGATTTATAGTTGCAAGTAACTTTATCTTCTTCTTTTTCAATTGTGGGAACTATGTGAACTTCTAAATTACTGTAATTAGATTAGGGAAAACAAGCGATATAACACCACCAACTTACGATTAGTTGCACTCCTAAATTAACTTGCAACTTTTAAAAATGTAATCAATCTGTAAGTTTGATTATTGCAACACGCATTATGTAGCTTCTTTTAGATTAGTTTTACTTATGCTTATCCTAAAACGAAGTTATTATTATGCTATTAAATTTGCTAAGTAGTTACTGATATTATTATAAAGTTATGATTAAATAAATAAATATGATTCATAAACCTGTACCATTCCAGTAATTGTATCCATACTGTAACCATACTCACATCATCTGACACAATTCTCCTCCTGCCTACAATCTGTGATCATACTAGAGATTCACGACTGTTTTTTACTTGCGGATAATACTCCTTAATAGTCAAAACTAACGGTTATTCGTTACTCATTGGTGGGAGTCAAGTACTTCAATAAAAACATTATTATGCGAAAAAATAACTACCATGGCCTCAAGTGTTTTCAATAACCAAACTCCATAATAATAAAATGTTCACTATTTTTCGATATTAACTATTGGTGAGGTCATGTCAATGACCAATAATTTTGTCTATAGTATCATTTATTCATAATTGAAAAGAAATTAATAAATTAAAAAACAAAATTTTATAAAATATATTTCTTATATATTGAAAGAACTTAACACAACCTTGGTGGCTCATTGAATTTTAATGAAATTTTCACGAATCTCAGAAAAGAGTATATTTCACATTCACTTTGCTGAAATAAGGCAATAAACAACATATAAATTAAATTTCAAAGACAAAAGGACCTAAAATGTGTTTTTAATGGTTTAAAAGGGTTTTCCATTTAGCGATAATTAAAAACTGAAAATTCAGTTAACTTAAGAAAAAATGAGATAAAAGGAAATATATTTCATTATATTTCACTTTTCCGTAGAAAAGTTAGCAGCGCAGATAGATGTGCTCCAAATATATTTGCTCTTCGCTGCAGGTTAGCGTTACTAATTTAATTATTTAAGTATGCGAACAATAGAAATTTTAAATATTAATAATAAAAAGTTAAATTAAAATTAATTCACAAACTCAAAACAGTAGTAGTATAACAAAAATTTAATTATTTTAATTACATACAGACAATGCTCATATTAAATATTCTTAAAAATTATTGGTATATATTCTATAAAGACTTTAGTTAAAAATTGAAGTTAGGAAAGTTTCAAAAAAATATTTTTTACAACTTCAAATAGTTCACTTATTGACTCATCAAAAGAGACCGCTTGAACACTGCAAGACTTACTGCAGTTCTTACTGGTCATTGATATGTAGGAACATACGCAGAGAAACTGCGCATTCCCCATAATCTTCACTGTAGAAGTTGTGGAAACCCGCAGGAGAAAGAAACCATAATACGTTTTCTCTGTGAATGTCCGGCTTTAGCGTCCAGAAGATATTGGTTCTTAGAAGAATACTTCTTTGATAGTTTATCAGACTGCTCATCGGTGAAGATGAAAGACCTATTAAATTACCTAAATTCGACGAGATGGATTTAGTCTCTACTCTTCTATTATAGGGTCCTTGCGAGGAATTTGATAGCAAAACGACAAAAAATCGCTAATTGAGGTACATGGAAGTTATCTATTGGCCTGTTACTGCAACCAACCAACCACTTTTTGAAATGTGATTTAGAAATAATTATACAATCTGATCTATTTTTTATTCGTTTTTATTACACTATTTTATTCGTTTCAATACAGTATAATGTGAAACTTATTTTCGAAACTAAATTCATCATTATTTATTTGATGAATAATTACCATTATTTATAAATCATTACTATTATTATTTTAAGCAAACTAAATTCCGATGACTTTGTCCCAACACTAAAATTCTCTGTGAAACTGATTAAAATCACTACCTAATTTGTTATTGTTTCAGGGTCATTTTTAATTAAATCGACTATAGCACATTCATTGATTCGAAGATATCTGTCGTACAACCAAGTTGTGTGACTAAATTTAATATATGTTAACTATATTAGTATACTACGAAATACTGTACTGAATTTGCCAGAGTTTCCTTGCTTTCATGATGTTATACCGTACTGTACTGCATCTGATTACAACTTCATAAAAAAACCTTTTATGTCAAAAACTTTCTTTACATTTTATTAAGCTAAAGTAACTGGTCGGTCAAAGGTATCGCGGATATATTTTAATACTTAAAAAATTTTGAAGTTATTTTCATTATCTTTTCGTTCAATAGATTGACAATGAAAGTTATACTACCAAATTAAGAAAAATATTCAGTTTCAAAAGGTAAGCCTAAGATAATATGATAGTTACTTAAGACGAAAAAATAATGATGAACTGTTTGACTGTCGCCATTAAAAAAAAGGACTCCATTGTTCTCATAGTACTTAAAGTAGAATTAATGTACAATGATAATTCCACATTAATTTCTCATATTTATCAACCTAAATGTTATAGAGAAAACTTTTGTGTGATAAATAATGGTGTATAAACTTTTAAGGAGGTCTGTTAAACAGTTTTTCAGAACGTTCGGGAAGATTTACATATTCAGTGCCAAGTGAAGAAAGCGAATATAGTTAAACAGAGTTTAAAAAAAATTGAACATAATTCTAACATTGGGTATTATTTTCATTATATATATAAACTTTTATAAAAAAAGAGGAGGAAAAAAAGGCTAAAAAGAAAGCAGAACAGAAGCGTTAGCTGAAAGAAGAAAAAAATATAAATTATGATTTTTTCATACATACATATATATACATATATATTGGAGCCCTATACTCCTTCTAGGAGTTAAAGGAATTTATATATGTTACATATACATATTTTGGAGCTACTTTAAAGTGTTGATATATCATGAATTGTTGAGCATAGTCATTTCAACAAATGTGTTGCCAGATCGAAAACTTTTTTAAAAAGTTGAATAACTACTACCATTTTAAAACTTCAGCTTATCTTACATGAGTAAGCAATTTTTCCTACGAATAATTGGTTTTCCTAGCCAAAATCAATTTTCGTTAATTCGTCTGAGGTTTTTATCAACACATATGTACATGCATTTCTTTCACTTGCATAAATACATTAACAGTTTCTATACAAACGATCTATAGTTTCTATATAAATGAAAATAGGCCGAATGGTGTATTACGCTCCACCTTAAATGCAAATCATCGACAGTAAAGCCTCCGGCTTCTTATGCAAAAAATAAAAATAGATTCTCAAATTAAATTAACTGCCCACAAATATGAGCTTACGACATTTTTAACTGTTAAACAATTCGGGTTCAACTTTAAATTTAAGAAGTATATAGTAGTCATTGATATACACTAAAAAAATTAATTTTATAACATACTATATATTCCATATCTCTTATAATCATAGTAACTTTCAAATTAAAACCTTTTGATAAATAACAAAGAAAAAAAAATTGAAACAATTTGTGCAAATCAAGAGTTGTTTTCAAGTCAAATAAAAACTGGAAAATGAGTAAGTCTGCTGAAGATGGGACTATAGAATTATATATAAGTGACAAAATTAAAGAAGATATTGGTAATGCTGGTTGCAACGTCGAAAATGCAAACGTTGATAGTGGAAAATGCCAAATAATCCAAAAATTGGTTTCTAATACTGCAAAAAATGTTCCGAATATTGCCAATTCAATTTTGGAAGCAGGGACTGGGACTAATTTGTCAATTGTGAATGGAGGACCAGTTGATGAAGCTGTAAATGATTGTATTTGTAAGTACATTTCAGAACATAAGAAAGAAAAATTTAAGTTTATAATTATTTTAGTTAATGTTTTTCTAGCAAATGCTCCCAACAACAGCGCATTTAATTCGATTACCAAATATGATATATTTGCAAGGCCAGATGATAAGAAGATGGAATTTGGAAACAATAAGTTTTCAACAAATACTACTGACGAGAGCCCATTAAATTCGATCACCAAGTGTGCTGCACTTGCGAGATCAGACGATGAGAACGTGGCATTTGAAAAAAATGAGTTTCAATCCAATACTGCCGATGGGACTCAATTTAATTTTACTACAAAATATACTTTACTTGCGGAACACGATGATGAATTTGTTAGAGACAAAATTTTAATTGATGAAAATACGGTACATAATGGTAATTGTGTTGAACTTCAAAACACAGTTTTGTCAATTACTGTGAATGAATGCTGTGTTGTCGAAGTTCCGGAAAATGTTCTAGACTTAAATACAGTCGAAGAAATGGAAATACATAAAATTCCGGATAGTAATATCAAAGAAAAGAAAGTTGATGAAAACTCCAAAGCGAAGGACAGTAATAGTGGTTGTGATCAAAGTGCAGAAAATGTCAGTCCTGGACTTACCAATGAGCATACTAATTCTGTTGGTGAAGAGGATACCTGCTGTCTTTGTTACAAAGTTATTGATATATTTGCAATCGGTGAATGTGACCATCAAATATGTTATGAATGTGCTTCACGTCTTAGGGTCATTTGCGGAGACCGATCTTGTCCTGTATGTAGAACATATCTACATAAAGTAATTTATAGCGCTCAAAAATTGCCATATCGTAAACTTGATGGTGAATCTTGGCGAAATCAGAAGTATATTAAGAAATGGTCAATTGCCTGCCGTGATGCTGATATTCATATCAAGTTTTTACGATTACTTAAGCATCAATGTCCTAAATGTGATATAAAGCCATATGCCAATTTTTATGACCTCGAAACTCATCTCAATAAAATACATCAGTTATATTTTTGTCACATTTGTACACAAAATTTGAATCAATTTTCTTTCGAACGTATCTGCTATACTGATTCCGAATTGAAATTGCATTTGAATAAAGGAGATGTTGGTAATACTTCTTTTCGAGGACATCCAAAGTGCCATTTTTGCGGAAATCGGTTTATGGACAAAGACGAACTTTATAAACATATGAGGCACACCCATTACTATTGTCACTTATGCGACGATACTATGGAGTTCTTTCACTTCTACTATCAACTGGCAAACCATTTTAAAAAGCATCACTTCTTATGTGAATATGGTTCTTGCAAACAATTAGAGTTTATTAATGCATTTCGTACCGAAATTGAATACAAAGCTCATTTAGCCAGAGAACATACTGAAGAATTTAATAAGTATAAAAGCAGAAACGCGCATAAAATATCTGTTAAAAAACTATTCGAACCATCGAGCAATGATAGAAGCCACACGCTTCATACTTTCACTAATAACAGAATTATATCACCATCAACTACTGCTAATACACAACAGAAAACCCAGCAACGCATCAACCTTGCAAGTAATACCGAATTTCCACCTCTAAACGAAGAAGCTGCTCCAAGTGTATCTGTGAATGTGAATACGAAACGGGTATCTAGGAAAATACATGTTGAGGCTTTTCCACCATTAGAAAGCAACTATAGGAAATCCAATATCGTTACAGCGAGTTTTATACGCGAAGAACCCTCTTGTAGTTCAGCTTCTGCAGCTCGTGTTATTTCTACTAACGGTGCTGTTAATCGTGGCACTAGTGCCAAACCAAATGCAGCATCAGTAATTCACCAAAGGAATCTAACTACTCAGATGACAGCCTTGAATACAGTAACAGTCGCCGGGTCACTAAGTAGTAATGAACGCAAAGAAAATAACACAACTAAAAAGAATGAAGGTGCTGCCTTGAGACTTAATGAAGAAAATTTTCCTAGTTTAAGCGCTCAAAAAAAATCATCAAAGAAAAACAAAAACCAGAAATAAGGAGCATATATATAATCCACAAGTCCTAGTCTTTAGATTTACTCATACCATTTTAAGTGAAATTTCGTTCTCAAAACTTTTGTTTATTCATTTCTGTTTTCAAATTTCAATAATGTACCCAAATTACAATAAAATGTTAAATAAATAAATAATTTTTAAAAAAAAGAACTGATTTGTTTATATTATTGTCATATATTGGTCTTTATTATATACATCCTGTATTTTGTATGAGTAAATTAATTAATTTATTTATTTATTCATTTTCTTATTATTATTTATTATTTATGTATTTATCTTATTTATTTATTTATTTTTTTATTTTTTTACTTACTTATTTACTTATGTATTTATTTATCTATTTATTTATTTATTTTATTTACTTACTTATTTACTTATGTATTTATTTATCTAATTATTTATGAAATGTATTGAAATTTGTATGAAATATATCATTATCATTAACATGTTATCTTAAATGATGATTAAGATAACTGAAACTTCTAAATTTTCATTTGTTAAAAGTATTACTAGATATCTAAGATATTTAGTAAGATATAAATTTACGAAAACTTGATGGAAAGCTTCAATCGGTATAAAGTAATTTCCAAACCAGAGACCGTTTACAAAATGCTGATAGTGAATACCTGCTTATAGAGCAGGTGAATACCTGTGATAACGGATAGGGATTTAAATATTTTGAGGACACACTCTAAGCGTATAGCTTTGTTCGCGAAAAACTTGAAGTGGTTAATTAATTACTAAAATATCAGGATACAGATTGAAGCAGCTAGTAATATATTTGGATCTTTAAGACAACAGATATTCATCGAGTTTGTCAAGCAAACGACACAAGAGTTCAATGTTTAATAAACTAAGACATATTATACGATTTTAACTATTTGAATCAGTGACCAACTTTCATACGATTTTTGTTATATCTTAAAAGGTCGTAACATGTGACATATTCAATATTCATATTATCGGACCTATTCTGTAAACTTGTCAAGTATTGACAATTATTCACTCTTTCTTATTTGTCAAGGTTGACAATTTGACAAGATTTTGGTATTCTGTGCCTTAAATAAAAAACTTTTTTTTGATAAATTGTCAAGACGACAAATGCTCTTGATACAAAAAAAGTTATTTCACTGTTTGTATAAAATTGTATAAAACAGTTCCTTAAAATGAAAGAAGACAAAGAGGAAAATGATGAGAAAGACATTTGCGAGATGCCAGTGATCAATTTTTGTTAAGTGATGCAGACGCCTCATTAATAATCTGGAATCGCATGATGGTCACAAAACTTCATTGTCTTTAACTATAAAGGTCTACCAAAAATGTGTGATAACAACTTCAACGTGGTCATGAGCCAGTCGTCCCTTAGTAGAAATTTGCATGCTATGGCAAAGCTAATTGTATATTGAAGTGAAAGAAATTATAAAAGTCATAAATTTTAGGTATGGATCAACGTTTTTGTTTTACTTTTCTTAACACAAAATTTTAGGGAGCAACACATGATTCCAGAATTTGAGCGACTTCTGACCTATGGAAGCATGTCATCCATCAGTATACTGCTAGGTTTGTAGTCTACCTCTAGTAAATTTCTGACTCATTTTAAAGCGCATTGCTTGCATACGCAGTTAACACTTTCACACATCCATCGTCTGCATATAAAAACATGGTAACAATTATAGAAAATATAATAAATATTAAGCAAATTCTTTCTTTCCATTTAATCGCCATACGAGCTGGACCTCTAGGTGCGTTTAATTCCTCTGCCAGCTGCTTCCACGTGCATTACATTTGCTAAGGCGATTGCAGAGTATTTTTGCCTGCACAAATTTCAGGATAAGCAAAATGATATATATAACATGCTCGTGCTTTGAATTTCTGTAAATGGAAATTTATATCAAATTACATACAATCCACATATAGAATCTGTTTTTATTACGAACAGCTGATTTTTGTTTACATAACACAATGTAGTCAACACAAGGTACTGCAGTTTTGAAATTTGTCAAAATTTATCCAGAATAGCAAATAGCTTTTTGCTTGATAAAAAATCTTGACTAATTGTCAATACTTCACAAATATATCAAATTCACAGAATAGTGGGGTATATACATATCTATTTTATTATATATAATCTTCTGACAGTTTTATACGAAATAAAAATAATTGAACCCTTTTAGCTTTGAACATTTTCCTTATACTCTGCGTGTTTCTTCATTCTCAAAATTCCTTGTTTCAGTCTCTAGCATTCTGCCTACTATGTTATTCAATAAAAAAGTTTTGAGTTTTGACATATTGAGAAAAGATTTTTGGTATTTATTTTAAAATCAGAAACATACTTTCAAAATATGGAGGAGGAAAATAATCAACAAATTTGTTGGAATGTGCAACGTATGGAAAAAAACAGCTGCTCATACTATTCAATTGATTTTCAAAAGTATTCCGTGAGCAAAAGGGCTAAAATCAGGAACTATTATCATTTTGAGGCGCTATATTACCATAAATATTTGCTTCTACGCAACAGGATCCTGAATCGCCGGAATAGTTAGTATAAGACGTTACAAACAATAAGTTTTGAATAAAGAGCATTATGAAATAAAATTTTTTTTGTTTTACTCATTTTTAAATCGCAACAAAAAGACAAAATTTTTCAACGTGGGTTTAATATACGGATCAGTCGTTTTTATTATCTTGAATTACTCGAATACTTGTTTGTAGATTTTTTACTATTATGGTAAGTCATGTAGGGTAAGTCATTTCACGGAAAAAATTATCTGTAATAGTAATATTATCTTATTAAAAAATTTGACTCATTTATTCGTCGGGAAAAAATAAATACTATTCTATTTTTACCAAATTGTAGTGCTTCTGCATGGGAAGCAATTTTTATACTCGCGACTACTTACTTTTCAGTAAAATTTGTTTTTGCTTGTACTTGAAAATGCTTGAAATGAGACAACCAAAGCAAAATGTGTTCAAGCAAGTAAATACGAGTACGACAATTTTTTGTATCGATTTTGATGAGTAATCGACGAGTAAAATAAGAAATAAAATTTCCATTAAAATTGGGCCCACTTCAAATCTTTATAAAATGATAATTATTTATGTTAATTATAGCTTAAACATAGTCATTAATTAAAAGCAGTAAAAAAGTTTTTAAATTTAAATAAACAGTAAAATTTTATAAAGGGAAATGTTGCTTTCTGCTTTGTAAAGTAAATATGTGGGACAGGAGAAGAAAGTACAATTTTATTTAAGTACCTATTTGGTTCTCTATTTTTCATAATGTTGATAAAAGAATTAAAATTATTTATTTATCAATTTAATTATTAACGCAAATACGTGCTAAATGCTAACAAGATTTCCATAAAAAAATGGAAATAGGCTTAAAGAAAGATAAGCTTTTTATCTTTCGAAATGTGATAACAATTTTTATCTGTATCTAACTTCGATATTAAAGTCCAAATTGATGGCAATTTGTAAACTATAAATTTGACAAAATGCTTCTTTCTTTTTATCTTGCATTTTGAAAATTTCAATATATTTAAACTTTCTTTAATCTTGTTATATATTATGTGTTATCACGTAAAATCAAAAAACCCAGTTTTTCGCTCTGAAAAGCTAAAGAAATTCTATTGTAAGCCGATGAAATTTTGAATCTACCCGAAAAATGGCAAAAACTTATAAATAATAAAATAATAAAATTCAATATAAACCAATATGTAATGTTAATTTTTTATTGCCGTGATTGACGGGTCTTTATAACGAAAAGAAACTATTTAAAAGTTAGACGGATTCGAATAGCAAAGAAAAAACAGGAACAAAAATTTAGTTAATTTATTAAAATTTGACTGATCATACAACACTTTTTCGAGTATTGCCACGTACTCATCATCAGTGGTCTTGGAAATATTTCTTGTATTTAATTATTCATAAATAATTTTTTGATACTGCAAGTACCAAGAATCGAACTCATGACCTGCCAAATTTGAAACTCAGATTCAGCACATCTTAATCAACTAACCCAAAGCCGTACTTGATTTTTATGTTCGCACATTTTTCTGGAGTTTTGTTACTTTGCTGTGAAACTTTTATTAACAATTGATTAACTAACAGCTATATGGTCACCCAAAAATTTAATTAATTAAAATAATATAAAATAAATTTTTGTTCTTGTAGTTTCACTACTATTCGAAAAACCTCTTTATTATTATTTGTTATATTTTTTATTTAGTATCATAGATGTACTTGTGTGTCACTTATCGTTTCTGTTTAAATACCTGAATGAAAGCATTAATGTCGGCGTATATTGAAAGCTAATTAAAAAGTATTCTCTACTGTTATATTCTCTGATTTGTGGGCCAATAGTCATGTAACCTTACCCTTTAACAATTGAACTATGATCTAAATTGAATTTGAAACAATTTAATTTTATTTTTGCGGTGAAATAAATTTTATTGTTGCTATTCAACGTGTTTCAGAAATGGTCTTGTTCAATTATCGTAAAACTGTCATTGATGATTTCTGGCTGTGAAAATTGTTAAATTTATTACTACGTCGAAGGCATTCTCCGAAATAAACACAAATTAAAACGTTATTTCAATTTGTGGTTGATAACAAAGCAGAGTTAGGTTAACTGATAAAATATATAATAAATGATTTTATTTATGTTTTTTTTTCTTTCATACAAACAATTTTCATATTATAGACTCATAGCCGAACTTGAAGTGAATCTTATCGAGAATTTAATACTTTTGTAAGGAGTTTGGAAACTTGAAAAGTTTTCAGTGATTGCTTCTGATATTTCTCGGTGGCTTTATTTGTTTCTCTTTAAAGTAGAAACAAGTTCAATGCAATTTTTTTTAATGTAATTTTATTAGGTTTTTCAATTTTACTTCTCCCCTTATAATATATTTTATTTAATGTGTAAAAAGTTACTAGAACAAAGTAGCAGCGGCAGGAATGAGAACTGCAACGGCTATGGCAATGGCAATAGCATCGGCAGCATGGCATGTTGCATTCTCATGCTGAAACAAAATCCGCATCCGAAAAAAAGATGAAGTTGCATTTCTATGTTCGGGTATTTGTACTCCTCCTCATGC